ATCAAAATTCGGAAAAGGCCCTATTCTACATAATTACCGAAGTAAATTAGCAAGTTAATTAACAATAAAAGTTTAAGATTTTTATGTATCTTGTATATCAATTATACATATACTTATTTATACAATTAAAATATACGTATAATATATGATTTAGAGACACCTTTTTCTTTGTGATATTACTTAATAAATAAAATGTAATCCTAGCGCCGATTGGTTTGATTTGCAGAAAAATACATTTATGATGCTTCCGTGGGTGGTTCTGGGCATTATGCTGGCCGTCGCGCTTCTTGTGAGCGTCCTTTACACCGCGATTATGTTCTTCGTAAACAGCGAAGTTCTTAACGGCGTTCTTTGGCTCGTTTTCGGTCTAATTGCCGTCGGTGGGTATTTAACAGCAGTCATACTTAAATTGCGACCGCAATTATCTTGAATCAAATTCTTGTCATTCAAAAAGGATTAAGAAAGGCATTTTCTTTCTTGTTCATTATTACGATTGAAGACGAAAAATAATTAAAGTTACAAGATATGTAGAGACATTGCTCGACTTTAATTATAGAGATTGTAATAGATTGTAATAGATCGTTTCAAACTTTTGCAGTGGTGTACACATACATGTGGCTGGTGGTGTACAGCTACTTTCAACAACTGAGGATCGAGAAGATGAGCAAAAGAATGGGTCCTTATGGAAAACCGTACAATTACCGGCGGGCATGAGAGCAAGATTGAATGTGTACACGTACGATTGCTTGGGGCCTGTCCGCGAAAGCGATCGTGGAGAATGGCGTGGCGACCGCAGCAATCGCTACCGCTCGTATAAACATTTATAGACGCGCGTCGACTCACGACACGTTGTTACAATTGGTTGCAAGTTGCGGTGGTTCACGCCGTTTCCGCCGTGTCTCTGACTCGCTGAATAACGTCGGACTGAAAAACTAAGTTTTCTTACAGTCATTATTTATCCGAGCAACGACATGGGAATGTCTTCCTCTTAATTGTCAATCTAAACACAGCGTCATAAAGATATTCCCGTTACAGTTTATATTTCGCACCAAAGCACGATATATTTCGATTTACATGACCGGATGTTTCGCGAGAGCATCCCGTAATCCGCGTAAAGTAAGCATAAACTATAGGACATTTGTACATTACGTTGTATTTATTGTAACTATTATTAATTATTTTGTCTAATGAATAATTTTGCCCATATACGAATACTCACGTAATTTTTAAGAGTTCTGCTTTCGAGCGACTAAGAGCGTCAAATATTCCAAGTACAATTATTAATCAGTGGTTAGTAATGAATTAGACAACCTGCTTTTTATACGCTATTATAAATTAAATACCAAACGGCATAAACAAATATTACTTTTATCGTTCAGGTTTAATCAAAGAGAGAGCGAGAGAGAGAGAAATAGATGATTAGAGAAATGCAGATCGGTAAATTGACCTGCATTGTTATAAAATAGTTTACCAAGTGTTTTTTATAAGATGAATTTTCGTAAAAAAAATACTGCCCTTGTCGTCGATCTCTTGTCAAGACATAATAATAGCAATAATATGATGGAGTTTATAAATTAGTTAAGAAATTAACTGGTATTTATTTAATTTTTTAATTTGTCAAGAGGAAGAAGTGGAAATATATTACGCGTGAAATACGTTTTGTCCGTAATACCATTATAAAAAGTGAATCTCTGTGTTTTAATTACTTATTTTTAATTTTCTCTTCTGTAACGTGTGCCATTGTATCTGTTTCGACCTTAATTAATTAATTATATATTAACTACATTTCTTATTATAATTAAAATAATTCGATTATTTAATTATTGAAAATCATCAATTAGTTCTTCTTTTCAATACCATCTGTTGCAATCCTGAAAGTTAGGTTTCTTTCTTTAAAATAAATCCCTTTACAAAATATATATCTGCTGCACGTTATATGTAAATATATTTTAGTCCCACAAAAAAACACCAAAATCCTTTCGAGCGATACATTTTACGAAACGTATTTATTATGTACATTTATTTAATTTTTCAAATTTCTACTGCGTACTTTGCACCAACAATATAAAGTCGATTATTTAGCTAAATTAAGAAGATTATAACTTTGTAACTTGTGAGAAGTATTTTAACTAGAAAAATCAGACCTGCGATATAATAGGAAGAAGTAAACGTCGAATAAAAACGCTTCACGCAGACGAGAGATAAAATACCAGCTTGATGCTGCGATATTTCGAGTCTGCTGCATGTGTGTACATACACGGATATACGATATAGTTTCCGTACAAAGACTTGAGAGGCGCGTATCTTGTTGCAAGTATAAAACGGTGTAAGCTCGGAAAAATATCGATACTGACAGATTCGCAAGTATATTTGGTTTTAATCGTCCTTGAGTGTTTGCACATTGTGCACCACATCACACGCACAACCGCTGACAAGAGCATTTTCTATATTTTCCCGAATAAATAAGGCGAGAGTTCCGGCGCCAAGGCCTGTCATATGATTCGTGCATCCAAAGTCGGTTCGTGATGACTCTCGCCGAGTGACTTTGTGTCCGTTGGCAAATCTGAAACTTTTAACACAACGTTTATACTTTGTAATCTTTTTTCCACAATGTTCGATAAATACATGTAGAATCCTTTAATAATACACAGATAATTTTTAACTGACATATTTATGTATTGCGATACATTTGGTGTTAATTGTATGCTAATTGTAACACGATGAAATATTATAGTTGCATAAAGTATTGTAATTAGAATGTATCTCTCTGTGCACAAAAATATATATTCGTAATGCATGAAGAATTACCTGTGTATACCGAAGCAACCGCTCTGGTGAGGCCAAGTTAAAATTATATCTTCATAATGTTTATCGACGAATTCGCAATAACCTTCCATGCCGCATAAAACGACTAAAGAGATAAAAAAGAAATATTTATTTTATTTTATTTCATATACATACACGGTCTGTCGCAAAAATGAGTGAATTTTTTAAAAAACTACAAAACATAGCCAGTTTTTTTCGGACAAACGTTTTATTCAAACTTTACTTCTTCCGCAATGCCAATGATTTGCACAGTCAGCTAATGCATCAAATGAGTTTTCTACGCCCTTTCGTACGTTTGCTCATTATAACATTTTGGAATAGAGTCGTAATACTTTTTGGGCATAAAAGCAAATTTGGCAACGTGCGATTACATTTTCACGACTCACAAAATATCCATGACATGGAAAAATCATTCGATACATTAGTTGACCATACAAATCATAGTTTCGCCGTAGAAGAAATGTATTTTGAATAAAATCAAACATTTGTCTCAAAAACATAATACATATTGTACACACAATTACGTCTCGACGAGTAGAAAATTATAATATTCATGTTAGTGTTAATATAATGGTTACTTTTAGTGTTTACTAGAAATTATTTTTATTTCACGTACTTTGTTCCAACATGAGATCCTGAGCAGTGATGGGGAAGCCCCACGCTTCAAGATTGACGAGATCCTGCAAGACTTTGGCACAATACACAGGTATCCAGGGGAGGAGAGATGCCGTTTTGACCTGCTCGCATTCCATCTGAAGCCGATTTCTTTTTATTAATTAAACTCAATCGTAAAAGCGCCGAAGAGAAATCTTGCTCGGTTTCTTTAATGCGTAACACAATAAATGAACGATATTAGGAATTATCTAACATCTCACTCACCGCTCTAGCGATTTGAACTATGAGCAGTCTATGCGTGAGAGGATATCCGACAATATCATCTTTCTTCTTCAGTATCGCGATGCAAGTGGCAGGAATCTCGCATTTCCCCTTTAAGCTGCTACTCAAAATTGCGGTTATACATTTATCGCCTTCCGGTTCATTAGGCGCCCCATGCCATATCGAAGAAACGACTTTGTCAAGACTTAATGATCTTTTGGGATACAATCTGGAATTGGATCCCGGAAGGATCCTCGTCCACGGAAGAGGCCTTATCCACAGATGGGGGTTATTTAAAGACACTGTAAAACTTAACGTCTCACAAAACTTGGCCGGTATGTAACATCCGGTAGTATTAATCAATATAACTGAACAAGTTTTCCGACAATATGTGTTTAACTACGAAAAGGACGGAATTCTTAATTAATTTTCTGATTCCAGTTTTGAAAAGTTAAATTTGTTAATCGAAAATTTCAAAGTTAAGTGTACGTAAAATTGTAAAAATTCCTATTTCGCCTGGTGCGGTTGAAGAAGATACATTTCTAGCCCTTAAAATCGGTTTCATCGTTCCCTTTAAAAAAGTCTCTCTACGTTTTCCTACGATTAATGGCATTTTTTGTCTCTCTCGTAAGCCTGTGAATTCACGCCTTTTCAAATACGGAAACAGTGTAAAAGGAAATGGAATACCAATGACGAATCTTTAACCGTTTGGTTCTCGTGCGTATCGTAGTACTTACTTAAAATTCTAGTTTTGTTAGTCGATTTAACAGTCGCCTTCAAGTTTTGTCGAGTTAAATCGGACAGCGCGACCAATTCTTTGAGAGCGATGAAAAATTTATTTTCCAAATATTGCACGTTTTCGTGCAGAAGCGCCGCCACCAAATTAGCTATTTTAATGAAGAGAGGTAGACTGATTACCAAATTTATTTAAAATCACATTAAAAACGTGTAATATGAATTAAAATATTTTCATCTTTTTTTACACATTTATTATAATTAAAATTCTTGACTCCTAATTGGGGTCTTGTGTTCAAAATCTTTAATCTGCAGAATTTCTTATTTATATATTTAGTAATTATAATGATTATTTACCTTCGGCTAAGGTAACGCCGTAAATAGCGTCCACGTTCATCTGCTCCGGTCTGTCGTTCATGTAGTCAAGAGTCTTTTGCAAGACAACGAGTTTTTGCTCTGGAACGGTCGATATTCTATTTACATTTCGAGACGATCGAGTTCTTTCGTGTACGTTCGAGAGCGTTCAACGAGAAAATTAAATTGATCGAAACAGCAGGAACGTTAAACGTGACCAGCATACGTTCCGATCTCTCCTTGAAGTATCTCGGAATAATATATATTTTTAATTCGATAAAAAGAATTTTTTTTAAGCTTACGTAAAACCGCCCTCCCAACATCCCAGTGAGGAATGATCGGTCGATCGACGTCGTTTCGACATCGATTAACAGGTTATTTCTCGTTGGGATTCGCTTTCCACGCATTTACTGTCTTTCAATTCACTATCTGTTATTCTGTTATATATGTATAATTAATTCACTCACGGAAACTTGTGGCGTCAAATGCCGCTTCTGTTCGCAACGACACGCAGGCGAACAGAAGAACGATCCCGAGGACACTGGGAAATCCTGGCACTCTAGTTTCCATCGGGACGGCTACGTAAAGAAAACACGATAAACTTCAGTTCCACGCCGTCTATATAAGCCGAATCCCCACCGTCGCGAGTTAGTCGACTAATTGTAAGCTAGACGCTCCTACAGCACAGAAGTTTACAGAAACATACTGGTATAAACATAATAAACAATAAAAGTCTTTCTTGTCGCCAGCAATATTCAAATAAAAGAGATAAAAAAGCTTTGATGCACGTCAACCAAACTGGCAATATATTTATTTATTTACAACGTTTCGGCTCCGTTTCGAATCTTATTAATTAATATAATAAGATAAGCTCGTTTTATGTAAAGACAAATGGAAAAACAATTACAGGCCAATAATTATACGAGCAATGGAAGGTGAATGTCCATATGTACTTAAATATTTGGTGTGTATTTTAAGCGAACGTTTCGGTGTCGCAGCACCTCCGTCAGCTCTTTTGATAACGAAACGACACGCGTAATAGCAATGTCCTCGTTACAAATTGTTTTTTTAAAATTCTTTTTGTGTCTTGACAAATATTTTAAAATAGCTTTGAATTTTAGAACTGCATTTTTCGGAAGATAAAAATCTTGGAAAAATTACATTCATTGAAGATTCTTAGATATTAATATTTAAAAATTAACATAATATTGCGCGTAAGAGAAATGCATAAACTGCACGAATGTAATGGAAGAAATTTCAAATGTCCATTGGAATAGAAATAAAATGTAAATTTCCAACCAACGGTGTATTTTATTTTATTAATATTTATTGTCGATCGCGTCTTCCTCGATGAAGAAAAAGCGCGATGCTCTCGAAGCGAATCGATAAACGCCGAAGCACGTGGTACTACTTTTTCTTCATAAGACAGACGTGTCCTGCCAGGAAAAGTGTTCTCCACGGGACCACGATGGATTATCGCGGCTTTCCAACCACATCTGTGCGACATTATTAGCTCTCTATTTTCAGCGGGCGCTTATATTTCGAATTGAAAAATTTAAATTAAAAAAGAAGTTATTTATCTATCTATCGCGCGGTAGCTTGCAATTAAAGAACACACGTTCAAAGATCTTGGAAAATTTCTTCGAGCAATAAAATCCTGCATTCCCATATATTATGTGGCGGATGTTTCTTCTTTGAATTAAATTTCAATCCTATCGAAAAATTTAGATCTCGACGAGCGCTACAACTTTGGTCCTATGCCCTTTTGCTCCATCTTTTACCGTTTTTAGGATAAAAATTGTTAAAAATTCAAAATTTTTTTTCGTATTTCTGAACTTATGGCAGTTTCTTTTAAATATCGACGAACGCTACAACATTGGCCCTATGCCCTTTTGCTCCATCTCTTACCGTTTCTGAGATAAACGGTGTTAAATTTTTGCGAGTTTTCGATAAATAGCGCTGATCCCCAAAAATCGCCGCCGTTCTGTCGTAGACTCGAAAGCATCGGTGTAATTTTGCTTTGCGGGAGTTACTCCTTGTAGAAAGGGCTAACCCGAGAGCCTTGTATCGCGAGCCCGCGAGCTTGGTCGACCACAAGTCCTGAAAGCCAGGCAGTTGCGTGTTAAGTTGTATATCAGTGTAAATTCGCGTGTGAATTAAATCTGTAA